GTATGAGGACCAATCACTGTCGAGCACTGTGATCCACCAAAGGGGCATTTGGTGGGTCTCAACCTAATTTTCATCTAAGCGAGCCACGACATTTAACACACGTCTGCCTGAGTCAGGCTGCTGCAGAACAAAAGCTGAACACTGAAAAGCAGCAGCATCCTCTGCTGTCTTACCCTTTATTTTTCAGACAGTCCATGTCAATCCAGAGCAAAGTGGGCTGTTTTAAACCCAAATAACAACATGAGGAGGATTAATCATTTTATAGATTCGGACAGCATTTGTGCAACTGGCACGATTCTGCAGCTAATACATGAAAAGTTATTTTCCCAAATCCTTTTCAGTTTTATATTTACAGCTCAGAGTAAGACTCTACTCATTTAGAGCTGCATAATTTTCTCTCCTGTGATAATTTTCACTGGGTTTGTGTGACTGACAGAACAGAAGAGAGCAGGTTAAGTGACAATTGTGTCACTTAAGGTGACAAAAGTCTTTGTATGGGAATGAAAGTGCAAAAAAAATGCTGCCTAAAAAGTGTTAATCCACATTAAAACAGTGCTTTTTGGAACAAATAAGGGATAATGTAGATTTGAAATTGTACTGATTCTCAAAATAAAAAAAACTAGTTGACTGGAAAAGTATTATTATCATGCAACTTTCTACTGTAAGTTATTGTTAGTGTGATTTGTTGTTATGGTTCATCCAAGGCAATTTTTAAAGACAATTATTTTAAATAAGATTATAGACCTAGCCCTTCTTAAAAATATTGAAAGAATGCATAATGCCGACACCACCCACCTTTCATGCCAGAATTTTAAAATAAATCATCTCATGTTAAATATTAGCAGAACTACAGGCTTTATATGTTTTGTGTAATTATTGTGAAATGTTAGCGCTCCACATGTGATAATTCCCAACAACTGCCACACCATATTTTCACTCAATAGCTGTAGAACTAATGATGTTCGATACTGCCAATTTTCTTTTTGATACTGATACCAAGTAAAATAAAATAAACAATTCTAACCCTAACCCTATATTTATTTAGCACAATTTAAAATTTTTATTCTAAAAAAAATTTAATTTTTGAATAGTGAATAAAAGTGAGAAAAAATATTTTAAAAGTTGTTACTTTGTAAATTTTGTATTGTTTGTGTGTTTGCAAGAAGGTCCCTGGCCAGAGCTAATGCTGTTTTGGGGCCATGGCATTAAAAAGTTTGGGAACCCCTCATCTAGAATTTGAATTACAGACGAAGCAGATTTTATGTTAAAATGACCTGCCATACATTTACAGACTGTGACTGGCTGAGCACAGGCCACTGTGCTGATGTATTACCCAAGCAGAAGAAAAAGTAGTTCCCTCCATCCACATATGGTTTAGACATGATTTGAATAGTTTAGTTATTTTCCACTATTTTCCTACTAATGATATACATTATGTGAAATAACTAAAGTATCAATATTTTGATTTTACTATCGACTCTAGAACATAAAGTTCTGGTATCGGTAGTAACAACATTTCAGTATCGATCTGCACATCACTAGTATGAATGATAAACATGTTGGCTAATGGCATCTTGGAATGGGGTGACTCCAAAGAAGTTCATCAGTAGTTCAGACGCACAGGTTTGATGGTTTAATAAGGTTTGAAGCAAAAATATTGTGAAACGTATTGTTTAGACCAGTGTTTCCCAAAGTTGGGGTCGGGACCCAAAGTGGGGTCCCGAAACATCAAGGTGGGGTCCTGAAAAGATTTTCTGAATTAATGACATTTTTGCCTATAGCTGTTACAAAGGCGTGAGGTTAGTGTATTTAAAATGGATAAATGTAGTATAAAAATATTGTTACTATGCCCATGTTTAGTTGACCTGATACAAATGTTTATCATCCAAAAATAGTTGGGGGCACAGGTCTCTACTGTTATTTTGTGGGTCAAAAGCTGAAAAGTTTGGGAACTACTGCACTTTGGTTCCCAAAGTTGGGCTTGGGACCCAATTATGGGTCATGAAGCACCTTGGATAATCTCCAGAAATCAATTTAAAGAGTAATAAAATAATTGCCGATGTAATATTTTCCCTATAACTATTATAAAATCACAAAGTAAGTATAAATAAGTATTTATATTTGTGTACAAGCTTTTTAGATTGTCAAAAGGCCTGTGTTTTTAGGGTTATTAACAAAGTTTGTGTACTCAGACCAGTAATATTTGGGGTCACAAGTTTTTGCCATGGGTATTTTGTGGGTCAGAAGATAAAAAGTTTGGGAACCACTGCTTTAGACTCTGTAACTACCACATGAAATTGTAGCTTAACATCTGTAAATCTCTAATTTATGGACAGTTTTGTGTTTGCCAAGGTCTGTTGATTTTGAAACGGGTTGACTGGGTTGTAGTTGTACAACACAGTGAATACTTTGTTAAGAGTTTTGCTCAAATTTGTCTGGTGAATCATGAGATGTTTTGCTAAAACAAATGAAAATGTGCAGAGATATGGGCAGAAACATCACTGCCGCTCTGTCGTTAACGGTGGGATGAACAAGAAAAGGCGGACAATCTCATTCCAGAATCCCGCAGATGTTTAAGTCTCCTGTAAGTGTAGCAAACTACATGTATGGAGGCTTGAAAGTTTATTTCAACTATAAGTCAGCATTGATTTAAAATTTATGTGGTCAGTCAGGTGCTTTTTTTTTTGCACATCTACATTTGCATAATGCATTTGACTGTTGACGTCAATATTACTGCTAAACATAAATATCTCAAGGCCCGAGTGCGACCCGGTGCCAGTCAGGCTTATAGAAAACGACAGTGTTTGCAGGAGCACATTTTACTTATATGGCACAGGTCACTGCTATTGAATACTGCAACAACATTGGACATGTAAAATATGGCCACTGCCCATACAAACACAGTTTAAAGCAGCTTTGAAAGGTTATCTTCAAAGACCAACTTTAAGAAAATGACAAAAAACCTCCTGATCCTGTGTGTAAAGTTGCCCTTTAGATACTTAATCTAATATGTGTGCTATGCAAAGTCCAAACTAATTTCAAAACTTGGAATAGGAAAAAGAAAACCTTGGGGCGGCTTAACTAATTGGCTTGCAAATACGTCTTTGTTACACTGAGCTAAATGGATGTCAATAGGTCAGGAAAGATCCACGGGAAGAAAAACACACCGTGATCATCTTTTCATGCTGACAAACTGCTCGTAACATCTCGATATCCTCTGTTCTTTGCCTTCAGCTAATTATCTCCACGTATCAGCCAGCAGAAAGGAGAACAATGTATCCTGTGTGAAACAACGACCCACGCTGCTGGCTCACACCACAGCACGAAACTGCCTTCATTTTATCAACAAAACCTTTAAAAAAACACTTTTTTTTTTAGTTGGCTTAATAAATAAATAAATACTTATTGGCTTATGCTGAAACTTTGCAAAAAATCTGTGGTTTGAAAAGCTGGGAGTCCAGACATGACCTCTGGATCCCAAACAATATTTATAAATTTATATTCTGGTGGATTTGTTTCACTATAATTGTTACAAAAGAACAGAAATAGTCATACATGGGAAAGGACAACAACAACAAAAAATTAATTAAAAAAAACAGCCGGCATTGACTAAACCGCTCTACACCTAATGTATGCAAAGGAAAAACAGCAGCATAATAAAACACACGACGGACTAAAAAATGAGACGTTTGCTTTAAATGTCAAAGGATTAAAAATGCAATAATTAGCTTTTAACGTGGATTATAACTCAAAGCATGAAATCCAACTTCAAAAATGTCATGCTGAACTATAATATTCAAGAGGCAGTGGATCTTCAGATATGTAGAACTCTGAAACTGAGGGTCCAGATTGACACGCAGCACTCTGCAACCTGCCATGAAAACACTTTAAAGCTGAGTCACATGTTGGGTGGTCCGTGTAGGTCAGGGGTCTACAACCTCTGCTATTCATTCTGAGCTGCAAAACCTGCTTGCAAATTTTTTTTTAAATAAATAGGCGTTATGAAAATATTACAAATATCCAAAGCTATTGTTTTATGTGAATTCAAGAAAAAAAAAAGACATTTGAATCTGAACTATGGATGCATATAATGACTCTACAGCTTTGATTTAATACATTATTTACCGGCATACTAAAAATTTATGTAAATAACAATTCACAGTGTTTATTTGATAATTTATTGTGATTTACGGCAATAAAAACCAAAACGTTTAACTGACAAAGCTTTTATTTGTATCAAAGGCAAACCTTAACTTAACTCGCCGTACAGTTTGCACCTGTTCAGAAATGCATTTTGTGTTTCTGCCTCCAGCAGCTGGGTTCAAATATAGACACTTATTTCCATGTTCCTTTTGGTCCGAACTACAAAGACCCACCACAGAGGAGCCACAGAGCCCCATGTGGCCCCGGAGCCGAGGCTGCAGACCCCCCTGGTAAACAAATATGGTGGAGTCAGACGAGCTGTTCCTGTAGGCAAACAAACACAGTTGGCAGCTGGCATCCAGCTGCAAATTTTGCGAAGAAAATTTGCATTTAAGAGAACGTTCGCAGAAAATTTGCTGTGTGGGTTTTATGGTTTTCTTTTGTCCAGTCTACAAGAATTTGCAATGTCTTTAGGCTATTTGTGCTGTCATGATGCCTCGTAGATTTCTTTTTTTATTTCAGCAGTGTGTGTAGTTTAAGCAGCAGGAAAAAAAAGCTAAAAAGTTTGGCAACCACTGCACTAGTATGCTGATATGAACAGTCAGAACATGACAAACAAACAAGCAGCTTGGGAATCTGAGCATAAAATGAGTCTGAAAACTATTTTACAATAATAATAAAAATGCAATAAAAAGGCACGCACTTAAACACATAAAACCACAGCATGTCTTAACAGATGCAGGTTGTAAAATAGGAAAACTGCAAAATAAAGTCCAGCAGCAGTCAACAGCGGAGCCCAGCGACCCCCACCCCCCACCTGACCCTCCCGGAAACCAGAAGCTGACCAACGGTCTTACCTCGCGCGAGCGTGGCCGGCACCTGCAACCCGAGGAGCAAAAACACGCAGAAACTCCAGCTGCCTCCTCCCGGAAACAAGCGTCCCATCATCGCTGCGCCGCTACCGGACTCCCTCCCCTCCGGGTCTGGGGGCACCTGCCGCGGGACTCGAGCATTTGTGGTCCCGCTGCTCTGAGGCGCGCCTCCGCCCGCGCGCGTGTGTGTGTCCGGACTGGGGACGGGTGTATCGGTCCAGCCGGGTGCGGTGGAGCCGCGGAGCCGGGCTCTCAGAAACGCAGTGCGGGTGTGTGTGAGGAGGAGGAGACGCTGAAAAAGACGGAGAAGAGGCGCTCAGCTGCGCGAGAGCGGAATGGTGAGCGCGGCGCGCGGCGCGCGGGAGTCAGCAGGAAGAGGAGGAGGAGGAGAGAGAGAGAGAGGATGGTCTGCTCACAGCGGACCTGTTGACCGTATTAAAGAAACGGTTTATTATTATTAATTATTATTATTATTATTATTTATTGTTTTTGTTTTTAAATTATCCCTTTATTAAAAAAAGAAAACAATTATTTGTCCGCTTCATGCCTGTTTTTAAGACAAAGATGCGGTCACCTGGGGGATCCTAACAAGAAACATCTACAATTAACTAATTAATGCTTATCTGTAAGTTTGAGCATATGGCTTTTGATTGGTGCCTTTTTACTAATTAGGCACACATTATCTTAGCAGGGAGATCGTTTCACTCAGTTTATATTGCCGTGATTAGCAGCACTTTTCCCCCTTTTTTTATATTAGTAATAGAATATTGATAAGGTCCCGTTCAGCCGCAGTAACATTATATACCCAGTTTGTTTTTCACTGAAAGCTTTCAGAGCATTGTCTTCACTGCATTACTCTGTGAGGGAGCAGAGAGTAAAGCAATATATTTGAATTTAATCTGCATGTTATTGTTCTGCGGCTCATAATGATGCAGTTGCATATGCATTAGCATTTAAATACAATTTTAATGTTAATTAGCTGATTGGGAGATCATTCACTTACAGGTTTTTAAGTATAAATACACAAATTATCCAATTATAGTGTAGTCTCACAGCTATAGGCCCAAAGTTTTCTCAGAGATATTCAAGTCAAACACACAACTGGGTATTTTTTACTGCCATTATTGCTTTAACTTCAATTAACTTATTGTTTCTTTAAGTTCAGCTACAATTGTTGCTGAAAAGAAAATGTATCAGAAAACAACAAAGAAACAAAAAAAGCCCTGCAACTCAAACCTGCTGATGAGTTTGCGTCAGCTTTGTTGTCCTTATTAGAGCTGGGCGGTATGACCCAAATTTTATATCACGGTATTTTCAACAGTTACACCGGTTTCACGGTATTTGATGGTTTTTTTCCCTCACAGCTCAGCTGATAATAAAATGTACAAATTTTGCTTATTGACTTTTTTCTTTTACTGTACTTATGTATCACTGTTTCCCTCCTCTTGTATGTATTTTCTTCTTTGGTTGTAGACAGTAATCATGCATTTTGGTCAGATCGTGAAGGGTTGAGAAAAAATCATTATCTGGTCTATCGTTGCGTGTTAATAAAACTTAAGGATGACTCACTTTGCACACCAGTCAACTCAGCTACACTTCAAAACTACCCCCCAGGCTTTTCACAACAGAAGCACGCTAGAGTCTCCACGCAATAACGTCTCCATTATAGTGTAGAGCATTAAATCTAACCGTGCACGTCACTGAAGAGTTGTTTACTATTCAGCCATGGTGAAAACGGGATTTTTTTTTTTACGTCAGATCATATAAGCGGCTGAAACATACCACCCGCCGCCAGTTGTTCCAACAATAACGTTAGCATGCTAATGCACTTAGCGGTGCTGCAAGGAAACGTGTCCCGAGGGAAACAGTTCACTGGCGGCTGCAGCGAAACGTTGCGTACGTTTTCAGGCTATTTGCACCGGTATTCAGAAAAGTCATATCATAACAAAAATAAAAACCGGTTTTCGGTACAAAGCAGTATACCGCCCAGCAGTAGTCCTTATGTTGCTAATGGCGCAAATAAATTCAGTAAGGCAATGGCAACATTTTGAATCGGTGTAGGGGAGACCGGGGACAGTAGCAACAAGGGACGGCTGCAACACGTCATTTTTCTCCAAACACAAACAGTGTAGAGTGATGACACTCACACTGTACATGCTCAGTTAGATGTCCCACCTTGAAAAGAAAAAGTCAACAGATTCAAAAACTGATCCAGGATTTATTTGAAAAAAAAAAACTGTTTTTGAGGAACCAAAGTATTTTTTTGTCCAGCTTTATTTTTGTTCTACTGTTGTCACTGTTTTTGTGATCCAGCTCAAACTTATATGGTTTAAACAAGTGATCTGTTGACTTTTAACTAATCTAGTTAACATGTATCCAGATGAGCTTATTTAGCTAACACATGAAGTTTTATCATGGCTGACAGGAAGGGGGACAGTTGTAACAGTTGTTGTAACTGTCCCGATACGATAAATCCATATAAAACAGAGCACATACAGATGAGATTAACATGTTGAAATTATGTTTACACTTAAAAGGGTGTTGGGTATTCATGACAATTTTATAGTTTAAAACATAAAAGTGTTTAAGATGTATTTTCTGCAGTTGTTGTTGTTTTCAACAATGGTTTTAAAATCCCAGTTTGTTTCAATGTAAATGTTACATAATGTAGGCGTACAGTGACAATAGACAAAACTAAAGTTAATTGTCTCACAAATTGTTCTGTTATCCTTGTCTCTAAAAGTCAACTGTATTTTATATCAATTAGAGTCTTTGACATCTGTATATAAGGTCTACTCATCAAATCTGTATTCATCATTTGATCAGAAATAATAAATAAATAACACTGTAATATCAAAACTTACAGTTTTTATTAATTTAGCAATAATAAAAATACAAAAATAAAAAAAGTTTTATTTACAGTGAAATATATTGTATTAATTACATGTTGTAACCACCTCCAAACAATGTTACAACTGTCCCCAGCCCCGGGGTCAGTTGTAACATCTGACTTTTTATTTTCAAATACAAATAGTGAAGAATGTACATGATTTAATCATCTATAAATGGGTTTGACTATTAACAGACAGATGTAAGTTTGTTGTATTAAAATTTGGTTTGTCTGATTCAAACCATCTCTGAGTAACAGAGTCAAATGTAAAAAGTGTTGCAACTGTCCCCAGTCTAACGCACTAATATGTCTTTACACAGTATTGCCCAAGTTTTCTCTTTCTAAGTCAGAAAAGATTCTCTGTTAGAATTAACACAGAAACTTGAAAACATTCGAAGGTTTGTGCAAACTGCACTTTTTAAAAACCTGAAAGTGCCCACAGTCAGTGCCAGATGGGACAAAAACAGATTTATAGATAAACAGAGCTGAGGTGTGTTGAAGAGCAGAACAGCATTGTTCATTTATTTTATAGACTGTAAATGTTGCTGAGGAGACTCTGCAGAGCACGAATCTGAACAGTGTGCACTTGGATTGTTTTTTTCTTGAATTGGCTTTATTTCAGTGTAGAGAAATTGAATATTCTCAGAACTGTTTTGCTTGGAGACTGGCTTGTGTTTTGACAACCAGGTTTTCACCTGTTTCACAGGGTTTTTGTATTTTTTATTTTTTTATTTTTTTTGTTCATGACAGGAATTAGACTTTAAAGCATGTTTGTTTGCAAAAATGTAATCATTTGGCAAGATGTGTGTTTCCCCTGTGATGTTTCACAGTGGTTAACTGTCAGTTACACCAGAGAGGCTGATTACAATAATGATTAATGATAATAATGATGTCACTGAAATAGAGAAACTCTTGAACAGCCACTGACTAAATGCATGTTTTGGCAGCAGTTCTTGTGAGGAGTGATGTTTATCACTCTGTACTGATTACATTTTAAAATCTTGTGCATGTTGCCTGCTGTGTCATTAGTCCAGAATAGCATAGAAATAGCTGTATTGTTCTTAAACATATATTCNTTACAGTTTTTATTAATTTAGCAATAATAAAATATAAATTTAATAAAACTTTTATTTACAGTGAAATATATTTTATTAATAATATGTTGTAACCACCCCCAAACAATGTTACAACTGTCCCCGAACTTGGGGTCAAGTTGCAACATCTGACTTTTCATTTTCAAATGCAAATAGTGAAGAATGTACATGATTTAATCATCTATAAATGGTTTTAACTATTAACAGACAGATGTAAGTTTATTGTATTAAAATTTGGTTTGTCTAATTCAAACCATCTCTGAGTAACAGAGTCAAATGTAAAAAGTGTTGCATCTGTCCCCGGTCTCCCCTACTCCAGTTGTATGAGGTGCCAACGGAATGTTAAATAACACATTTTCCATTATTTAGCTCACTTTCTGATGTTAAAATTTTTCCAATAACATTGTACTGCTATTTAACTCACTTCTCTTATGTTTGTCTAATTTTTACTAAATGTTAAATTTAAACGTTAAAAATATATTTAAACATTAAATCTTAAATCAAAATGGGTAGATCTAAATGTAAAACTCCAGTTTGAAATGTTGTCGTTAAATGTTGAATTTCACATAAGTCATTCGCAATCAAACCCAGCCTTTGCCGTTGTATCGGCTCATAATGTCATCATCCGGTGACAATATCAATCGCAAGTGCGCCAACGCAGCAAAAGCTTCCACACAACATCAAACTAGCAGTTACAGTCAGTGTCTGTGCTGCAATTCAAACCGTGAGATCACAGATACCATCCATTGTGTTTTCAATGAACACATTTGGATTTTAGATTTTAAATACTATCTTCAACAGTGTTAGAAGTGTTAGCAGTGCTTTAAGTGGAAAAAAATAAGTGCCGGTACTCTTACCCTTAACATCATATAAGTACGGGACAGAATCATATGTAATGTTTTTACATACATCTGTCTATCGATCTATAGACCTGGAGTTTTATTGCACAGAAATAACAAATAAAACAGTTATAAATCAACTCCACGTGAGTCAAATTCATAGTGTCTTGGATAGCATGTTACTTTTACTCAATTTCATTTACTTGAATAACCTTTTGGGAGAAAATGCAGTTTTAGGAGTAGTTTTACTCCATCATACTTTTACTTGATTAATATTACTATGAGTACTAGTTTCATAGTTTTGTATAAATCTGTTCAGTACTTTTTGAGATATAAGCCTGAGAAGGAAACAGGGTAGTTTTGCTGCAGTACTGCCACAGAACTAGCACTCTGGACAGTGAGAATTGGAGAACAAGCTGCTCCTACAGCGGTTCTCAGATGTTTACTCCCTTTCCTGGATAACGGAAGA